TTGTGAAGAATGTGTTGATATTTTTGCTTTGTGTTACGAGTAAAAAAAAATGGTTGTGAGTGGGTTTCAGATGGGCGTTGCTCCAGTGAAATTAAACAACAACAACAAAAATGAAGCAACTGTGGTACAAGAATGCACTCTGAGTCGTTGGGATAAACAGTCAAACATTCAAACACAAAATGAAAACACTCGCAAAGAGCATGGAACAGACATTCACACTGAACTAAGTGTGTGATGACTGGCCAACTGATGTCACATACAAGGCCACGCCCCTGAATATTATAGTACTGTATATCTGTGTGTGTGTGTGTGTGTGTGTGTGTGTGTGTGTGTGTGTGTGTGTACATATACATTTTGGCTTAATTACATGTTATAAAACCATCCATCATCCCTTATCCGAACGACACGTTTTATTAAGTTTGAACATGTGTTTGTATAAGAATTTTAATATATTAGTCTAAATGTCTTCATTACAAACATAACAAAAAAGGAGGGGTTATTTTTGGCTGTGTGGAATGGATTCATGGCATTTCAGAGGGAAAAATGGATTCAATATATTAGGACAGTGACTTATGAGCTTGGCGATGGAACGCATTAAACTCGTAAGTCAACTTTCCACCGTACAGTATTTGCTTTTGTACTCACTTTGCCATCATCTCCTCCTGTGGCGATATACTGCCCGTCTGGCGAGTAAGCCAGCGACGCCAAGTTGTTAAAGTGTCCCTGCTGTTTGAAGACGTACGATTCGCTCTGCCACTCCCACACCAGAAGCTGACCCATCCCTGGAACAACAACTGCATTTAACAACAGCCAAAAGTCACACACCATCATAAAATGAATCCTCTCTCACCCGAGCAGCCAAAGGCAATCCAGTCGCCAGAGCAGTTTAGGGCCACGGAAGCAATTTTCTGGTCTGATATACTAAAAGGAGAAACACGATAATTGTGGCTTAAAATGTCCCCTCGCAAGCTTTCACTGAACATCAACTGTCTCTAACCTGAGTGAGTGGATGAGGTTAACCTCTGGAAGTTCATGCAGGTGGAAGATTCCAGAGGAAAAACCTGTGACCAGGATGTGCGTGGGCTTGTGATAAGCAGCCGCTGTCAGGTTTGTAAAGTCGCGCTCCTTGTTGAAGAAGTGCCTACGAGAGCAGAGGGCGAACATTTCAGAAAGGGCATCGCATCCCACCATCCTGTGGTGGGACTCAGACGATGTGAGAGGTCGACAAATGTGAACATATGTGGAAGTTAACTGACTTGCTAATCTGCTTGTATTGGACTTTCTTAGTTTTCTTATCACTTTTGGACTTTTGAGCTTTTCCTCTGATGACCTCTCCCTCTTGGACTTCCTCCCCTCTCTCTTCCTCCTCCTCATCTTCATCCTTTCTCGGCATCTTGGGTTTGTCTGGTTTATTCTTCAAAACAAGGGAGTCCAGCTCTGCGTCACTCTCCCAAACGCACAGAACCCCGTCCTGGCTCACTGTGTACAGCTGCAGACCCACGAACACATTATTGTGGGATATTATCATTAGCTTTTGATTTATTGTGGGGAAAACAATGAAATAAAAGACTCACATCCAGACTGTCTTTCTCGAAGAAACATCCCACGATGATGTCCTTGTGTCCACCCAGCGTGTAGTAGGTCAGATTCATCCAACGCTCTGCACCAAACACCCACGTGGACATGTCCTTGCTGCCCACTACAAAACACCTGACGAAAAATACAAATCGGAGTGGGCCTTATTTAGTAAGAAGCTAAATATCAGGCACTAAATTGCATGCACACTGACTTGAACAGATTGGGTGTGCTGCAGCAACACATGTAAAAGTGGTGGAGACAGTCGGCAGGTGACTCTACTTCACAATAAGTGGCAGTTTGACAGATATAAAAAGTAAATCTTGCTTAAAAAAAGGCTTCAATCTATTGATTGCTACTCTCATCTGAAGGTTAAGGATAATTACACTTTGTGTACCTGAAGCAACCACGTAGCCTCTGCTACCTGAATGGTAACATACAATGGGAAACCCTATAGGCCAATAATTAACATCTACAGCATGTGGCAACGTTGTTACCCTTTTAAGCCAGTGCCCCCCAATGCACATATTTCACACAAGAAGAAAACCTAGAAAAACAATGCACAAAATGTGGATACAGTGGATTTGGATTATGTACCTTCCTTCTGTCAACTAGTGGATGAGCATTTGATTGTTTTGTCTGTTGAAAAAATGTGATCGATAGATACAGTGATAATTTTTTTATTCTATTTTTTTTGTCATAATAATTGGCACTGGGTAATTTCCCACGGCATTTCTCTCAGGACACATTTATCTGTGACAAACTGGTTGAGAATCACCATTTTAAGCAATGGACATCTGAACAGTAATAGTGATGCAACACATGCAGACAGGTCATATAACAATACTCACAGGCGTACATTCTTCAAACACTGCGAAGAAAAACTGCCACATTAAGAAGCCCCGAGGTGGCCAAGGGGCGCACACCCGAATAAGAAGGAGCTTTGATTTTATTTAATGAGGTAATAACTGTATGATTGAAAAAATGTAATATTCTAACACTGTTATTTTAAACATATGCCACGGGCCTCTAAAATATGGACGATAGGTTACTTTTTTATATCTGTAGAATTTGTTATTGAGCATTGTTTTTCAAGTTAGAAAACATATTTCGGGGGCATTTCCATTCATTTCACTGGGGAAAGATTATTTGAGATAAAAGTGTTTTGCATCACGAGCATTGTAAAGAACCAAATTAAACTTGGATCTGAAGGCACCACTGTTTTCAAAACAGCCAAATTGGGTCCAGTGTGTTCTCGAGCTCTCTGCTCACTAGTGTCAACCGTCTTGTTGCACTAACTTACTTGGAGTCGTCAGTCCAGTCGATGCAGGTTGTTTCATCATAGGGACCGTGGTAACTTTTGTCTAACACAAAGGCGTTGAATTCCCGCTGCTTGCCAGGAGCATGGTACATCAATGCAACATTCTCCTTCGTGACGACAAACTTCCTGTAAACCAAAAAAATAAAGCTCAGGTTGGTACTTACACATTAAAGTGGTTAATGTAACTGCGCACTTTATCAGACATAGTTACCTGCCATCAGGTGAGAAGCGGATGCTATTGACAGGTTTATGAAAGTGGAAATGATGAAGGATGGCGCGTGTGATGAGACTGACCAGCAATGCTGCACCATCTGTGTAAACATACAGGATTTGTTTTAGTGTTTTAAGTATCACATGTTTTTGCAAAATATGAGACAAAAGAAAAATCTGTGGTCTGACCTTCATCAACCACGATTGCCACGTTCCCATTCGGCGAGATTCCCACGCATGTAATGTTCTTTGCAGTGCATACTGGTAATGTCACTGATGTGTTGCTGAAGAATAGACGTATTACTTCCCTTTTCAATGTTTTATAAATGGCGTACGACACACAACACTTACTTTTTGAGGTCAAAGATGGAGATTCGATTTCCAACTGGACTGATTACAGCGTTGCCGTCCTTAGCGAAACTTAGATTCCCCTGACGATAGACAGCTCCGAGCAGATTCGAAAACTTAATGAGAAAGGATTTTCAATTTTCAATTTTCAATTTTTTCAACACAGTCAAAATGTTCAACAATGCAAGGCAAGCAATCAATTCTGTTTGGCAGTGGTGGGGGAGAAACTTAACGTTACTTAAGTATTTCTTTTTCTGACAAGATTTTACTTTTACCGAAAACATTTTAAAACACATATCTGCACATTCTTGGGAATACTTTTTTTTTTTTTAAAGTTTTTCTTTTTATACCGCTGCAGAAGACAACACAATGCAACGTGTATGAAAGCAAGGTATGATCAACCACAGTTAAGATCTTGGTTGATTGAGATCTTAAGATCTTATACAGGGGAAAACGTTAGGAGAGCTGTGTCATCATGGAATGTGAACCGGTGACCAATGACCCCTAAGATTTGGAGAAGCTTGCTATTCCTTACTTAAAGAGGATTTCTTCTTTCGTCAGAAAAAGGAAATTAACGCTGGTAGCTATTTTGTGTCTTGAGAAGTGTATAACAGAAATGTTACAAAAAGAAAAAACTCGTTGGTACTTAAGTACGTTTCAGAGTCTGTACTTTTACTAAGGAGTTGAATCACAGTACCATCAACGTAATTTTTACATAAGTATCCGTCCTGGTATTTAACTGGGAGTATTTTTTCAGTTTGAATATTTATTCATATAAGTATCTGTCCTCCTACTTGAACAATTGTAAAAGTGCGAATACTTCTGATTTCATCTGGTGCCGAATAAAATGGTAACAGCACCGTAACAACACGGTGAATGAGTGAGCCGAACTTCAGCGTTGATTTGTGAGATTGTTTTGTAGTGAGTGGATTAATATTTCAAAACAAATAAAACAGTATAATTAACATTTAGATTCTTCCGAGGAACGCTCTGATCCAACTTCTACCGGCAGAGCAAAGAATCGTCACTCACCTTATATGCAAACTTCATTTTGCTCGATATCCCTCGAATGGACTGTACTCTATGGTCAATTTAATGCTGAGCAAATGTAGAGGGGAATATTAATAAAAGATCTCAAGATGACACACATGCTTGTTCATCTTGCGCCACTCGCACGTGTTTACGTTGTGTTGACACTTGGAACTTCCGCCTGTAGTTGAGTCACAGGGATATATATGCGCCATCTGGCGGCAAGGAGGACCGACACTCGGTCAAAATGAAAATGTAGAAGAAAAATCCAATGTTTTATAAGTATCCAAAGATTTTAACGCATACCAAAACACTGATGAGGTTCGTAAAGTTTGTTACTTTTATTTGGATTTTTTTAACTGGATGTATATCATTTTGGCATGCACAAATGCACACACACTTGCACGTGTTTGCATTTTTTAGTTCATATGTGTGTAGTTAGATGTGTCCACTTTGTCAAAGTGAAATATTAATTGTTAAAAAAAAAAATATATATATATATATTTTTTTTTTTCTGAAATTCATAAAATATTTGTAAAACAGTCAGCTTTCTAGCTGAAACATTTTGCTATGTGCTCATAAAATGATAACATTAGATAAAAATGTCCATTCTGTCATTGTCCACGTCAACAAGCTCACACTTATTTTTGCAAGTACATTGTGTGCTCATTGTTAATTCATATTCAAAAAAGAGTGATTGAGTGACGAATTTGCATTTCTAAGAGCGTAACATCAACTTAATACTTTGTACCTTGAATATGGACTCTAATGGGAAATCATTTTTGTGTGGGCATGATTAACTAGCAAAATACCATCTCTCGCAAGACTGAAGTGTTTAGTATAAGGATGTGTCGGGCGAAATGCAGGGAATAAAATAAATGCATAACTATCACAGGCAGTTCGGTATGTTTGATGTTGTACCAAGCCTTGCTCGTTGTTCTGAAGAGAGCCAACAGTGAGACGTCCCAATGCTCGTATTTCTTTAGTATTTGCTCAAGCAGCTTATTTTTGTCTTTAGATTTATCGCAATAGAGTAGGTCATGTTCAGGGCAGTGCGGTGGTGATTAGTTACTCTTATTTGTGGAACAACAGAAATATTTCAGCCTGAAAACAAAAACAAACTTCATCACTTCAGAGTTTTGTGCCAGAGGTCGAAGCAGGGTACAACATGCAGCCGTACATATTTTTGCCCACCAAACGAGCATTCCACACAGCCATAGACAGTTTCTCTTCTTTGATTGCCCATGCCGCACAGCGCACATGGCCCCTTGGGGATGTTGTGTTTCAGGAGGTTGACGCGTGTGTGGGAGCTTTCCCTCAGGTAGCTGGTGGAGATGTCGGTCATGCTGGCGGCTTTCTCGTAGTAGTCAGTCATCGAGTCGTCCATGAAGGTATCAGAGTGAGTGAGCTCTTCCAATGTTCTGTCATCTGCATGCACAGAAAGCATCTTGTCAAGATATGGTGGGAAAATGAATCAGTCACAACGGCACCTGCTCTGAAGGGGTTCCCATAGATGATGCCTGACAGGAAGCGGCGCAGTCGGCCCATTGAGAAATGACCGATGAAGCCCCCCAGCTGCTCCCTGCTTTGCTCCTGTTCAAATCCACCTTGAGATCCCGGTGCAACGCAGATATCTGATCGAGCAAAATAACAAATAGTATAGTTAACTTACTATAGTTGGTTACATACATAAATAGACTTCCTGATCTCCTAAGGCACTGGTGTCAAACCTTTTACACCAAATAGCACCTACAAATAATTGTTCATTAATAATGAGACAAAAATTTTATTCAGTGTTTTACCACTGGAACAACATGCGCAAATTGAAAATTGACAGTGTACTCAAACATAGGAAACAAACAAAAAAATCTTTTGATAATGATGCAATTAAAATATTTTACTCCTGACAGCTAAGTAAAAAATGTCCCGGAATAAAAATTTAAAACAAACCATTCTGTGTGTTAGTTGTCATACACGGACGCATAATCAGCAAGTGGACACTTTACAGCAGCCAACTTTACATAATCTCCAAGTGGAGATCTTCTAGCAGTCCGTGTAATCGTACTTTGCATGCGCCAATCTCTTGCATGGACTCCAATGAGTCACTTCAGCTGTGCGCAATTTAAAAGGAATGAGAGAGGCTTCTACGATTGGCCAGGAATCAAGTTGGTAGTGTTCACTCCCACTATGGCGCAAATGCCCATTTTGAACTGCGCTCGTGTACAAAAAGACCATCAAATCGCACTTTGCGCTAGACTAACGGCAAGCACAAAAATACTCTGCGTGCAGAAGAGCCTTCAGTGGAAAACACATGAGTTTTTCATGTGACCTTGTAATTAGGAACCCATCATTTCAAACATAACACACTTCTCATATTTGAGGTGACTCACTGCCTTTCATCTTAATTCCAGAGCAAAACACTTTTACTTGAGAAGTGCACTTACAGGCTTGATTGTGTGTTGGTGAATGATGTGCGTGACCCTCTTACCGAGTCGCCCGTCCAGTCGAACAAACAGCTCGCAGATGCTGAAGGCGATGGTGGTGTGAGCCGGGATGACAATGGCCTTATCTCGGCCTTTTGGGTTCCTGCCATCATCGATCTGAAACTGCAGCAAAAAAACAAACAAACAAACAAACAAAAACATGAAAGATCCATTTTAAAGTCATTTACATGCTATCCTTCAAACAAAAGATGGTTACTGCCCCAAAATGATTTCAACCACGGGGTTCTAAGTGGATGTTAAGCCAAACTGAATAAAATAATCTATCTATCTATCTATCTATCTATCTATCTATCTATCTATCTATCTATCTATCTATCTATCTGGCAGGGAATCCACATTTTTTTTTTTTTTTACATTTTAGGGTAACAAATGTTCTTGAAAAAAACAATGGCATTTGAGTAAGAATCTTTGTTTCAAACAATCTTTTTAGTGTCACAAATGTTCTTGCAAAAACAAAGGAATTCGCGCTTTTGTTTTTGTTTTTTTTCTTCCAAACAATATTAGCTTTCTTTCCACCAATATGAATGGATTTTCTCTCACTCTTTAAGTGTTGTGTTTTATTGTGTCATTTCTTTGCTCTTCACCCCTCACCATTCCCCAGGTTCACTGTTTTGCCCTCAGGCTCCCTGAAGATAACTGATGTACGCCTCATTGATAGTAAATTGTACACGTGTACTGCAGAGAACCCAGCCGGCAATGTGTCCTTAAGCTACAATTTACACATCCAAGGTAACTTTGTGGGGTTTTATGATAAAGTCGGAAACAATAACATGTTTGTTGAGAGCACTTTCATGTTGATAGAATTCATGATAACGGCACTTCTCTCTAAACTGTTGACATTATGGATAGATATGATAAAACACGTGTCAAGGTTGTTCTTTTGTCCTTAGCCAAGCCCAGGATTCAGCCCGCACCCCCGCTACTGAAAGCCCTGGTGGGACAAACAGTCACGCTCCCATGTGTGGTCCAGGGGGAGCCGAGCCCAGAGGTCAATTGGTTTCACAATGGTCTTCCTGTTGGGATCAAGGACACGTCACCCTTTAGGATCCAGCACGTCAGCATGGCTGACAAAGGAACTTACCAATGCGTGGCTCGCAACAGCGCTGGACAGGAGACTTTGGAGATCATGCTGGAAATTCTTGGTGAATTCCTGTTCCTTAATACCAGCCTTTTACAGCTCAAGTAAAAAAACAAACAAAAAAACACTCGACTTTTCTTTAAAGTTTGGATTCAGTGTCTACCACATACTACTAATCATAACATAGGGTCAACTAATCCTACTATGTAAAATAATCTATCTATCTATCTATCTATCTATCTATCTATCTATCTATCTATCTATCTATCTATCTATCTATCTATCTATCTATCTATCTATCTATCTATCTATCTATCTAGATATATACTGGGGAACAGTGAAGGATTTGTGTTTACCCTCATGGTGGCCCCCCTCATGCCAGCATGGACTGTCAGAGAGCACTGGCGAGTGGTGCGTATGCTCTCCATGACGACACACAGGACACTCCATCCGTTCTCCCTCAATTGGCGGACCAGGCAGTGTTCCACATCCACTTTCCTTTAAAGCAGTTCATTTTCAGTACTGTGATTGTTTTCTATAAAGTCTTGTTCGTGGTTATGCATTACACGTGGAATATACTGGAAGGGCTTAACTGGAGCTAGACTGGTTTCTGACAGGGCTATAGCATCCCGTAGACCCAGTGTAGCGCCTTCCCTGCTCCAATGTCCTAAATTTCCATCAGTGTAGCATAACATAATCATTTATTCAGGGATGTCCACTTCTCATATTTCTTCAGTCACAAATATGTCAAACATCAATTGTATGTCTGACCTTCAGTTCAATTGAGAAAAAGATGTGTTGTTTTTTTTTTTTGGCCTACGATCATAGTTTATCATATGTCGGGAAAAAAAATAATTTGATGATTTTCAAATCTGGTATGAATGAATCTGATTGCAATACCTGGAGTTGAGTTCCCTCAGCAATGTAGGCACTTCCACCTCGTGTTTGGTCACAATGCCAAAGGAAGCTTTGACGGCCACCGAGTCGGAGCCGCTTACGTTGAACCCCACGTCGTTGATGAGGTGGTTTCCAAGGCGACCGTTGAGGGCCACGTCCGATTTGTCCTCATAGTTGAGAAGCTGATATGAGGATACACCTGACAAAAGTAAACCCCCTTTAATAACTCGCTTACAGTGTCTTCAGATTTCACGTTTGCTCTACCTGCTGTGATCTCCTTCTCCCCTACTAGGATATCTTTGAGGGAGAATGCAGTGGAGGCATATTTGTTCTTTTTCTTCCAGAAACGCCTCTTTCTCTTCCTGGTGACAAGGCTTAGTGGCTGATAGCGGTCGGCCTCGCTCAGGCTCGGGACGGGGATCAACCTCCCAGTGTCGCCCACCTGCTTGACAAAGTTCTTGGTAGCCGCTGCAAACATCTCAAATATGGAACTAGAAGCTCAGACTATCCTTGCATCTCACGTTGGCTGTTAAATAATGCAGTGTTTGGAAGGTAATATGTGTGTTCACCTGGTCACCATGAGGCTGTAACTTCCTGTCACATGACCCCATGTTGTGGAAAAATATATTATGCAGATTTTAAGTGCAAATGTATTACAGGAGAAGACATTTTTTTGCACTGATAGTTTAATGAATGGATGAATTCTTCATTTTGAACATGTGTGAGAGTGACATAAGAAAGAAACACTTAAAACAGACAAAATGAATTTAAGATAAAATAAAACCTAAAAAAACAGCAACAACAAAATTTGAGCTCAGTGGCAAAAAAAATAATAATGTGGAAATAATACTGGCCTTTTTGGCTGAAAAACATCCAGACTTTCAATCTTGAGATGACATAATGCTACACAGCTCCCACAGAGTCAAGAAGGGGTGGAGTTATTTTGCACTTCTAAAATAGTTGAAGTCGTCAGCTCTTTTCAACACTTTGGATTGGTTAATAACTTCTAAAGACAATACGCCATGTGGTGACTGATGATCAGTAGTTAGGTGATCAAATATGAAATTGGCCATATTTGGGCATATATAAGGATTCTTTCCAACATTTTTGACATACAGTATGTCATTTACACATATGTATTTGTGGCTTAACTGCTTTCAGGCTTTTCTTTGACAATTCCTCTGTAAATTTGTTTGTTTTTAGAATTGCATGGCAGTATTGCACATAAACGCCCCAGGGCCTGTGGACTCCTGACACCCGCTATAAAACAGTGCAATCGTCTCCACGCCCCAAAAGCTGACCAGCTGATTAATTGGCAGTTTTTTTTTTAAATTTATGCATTGATGTCAATTCTGAATTGTACTTCATTGTGCTACAAATGTGATGATCTCATCTTCCTAATTTTTCCATCCCCGCGTCTCCTGCCTTGCCCCTTTGATACTCCCATCTTGGCATCATCATACACCAAAAGGATGATGCAACTTGCGCACAGTCAGTAGTAGTACATACAAGGCCAGTCAAATGTTTGAACACATCTTCTCAATTGTAGCATGACCAAGTGGGTCCAAATATTTTACTAGTGCTGTACTTATAAATAATGCAGTGTAAATAAGTAAGTATAAAATTAAGAGAAATACAGTCAGTCAGCTAATGAAAAGAATCCACAAAACACTGATGTGTTGAATCTTGTCACTGCAAATCATGGTCACAGGTCATGCATAATAAATCTGTTTTTTTTTTTTTTTTTGCTGCCCCATCTTTCAAAATTTGTATTTGATCTAGGAGGATTTTCATGCAGCCTTTAATTAGTGCGTTGTTCAAAGACTAGAGTAGCGTCTGCCAGGGAGGTTGGCCCTCAAGTGAAGTGACAATGAGTAAGGAGGAGGAGGCGTGAGGAAGACGCAGTTAGGAGGAGGAAGAGGAGGAGCCCAGCACCTCCGGGAGTCCGGTGCGCTCAGGGATATTCTGATCTTTCGGGCTGGATGCTGTAGCTCGGGGTCGGCCTCTTCTGAGCGTGTGTGTGTTTGTGTGTGAGGTCCTTGCATGCCTGGCGTGCAAAGATGGGCCCCTCCGTGCACATGAGGATTACTGTACTCCTGGCTGCCATCTCCCTAACTCAGGTGATTACTGTCTCCTGCCAGGAAAACCCCAAGAACGGTGAGTAGCTTCCCTTCATCTGAGGGCCTCTTACAAAGCACGTTTCCATCAGTAGCAGACCATGTTTTTTAAGTATGTTTTGTCTCTTTGCCAACTGTGATTTTATGGAGACGACTTATTTTATTTGATAGATATCTATCGTGACTTAAAATCGTGTTTTTTTTTCCTGGCAGCAGTATGGAGTAGTGTATTTGCCTCACATTTGAGAGGGTCTAGGTTCAAATCTCAACAAAATAAACAACAAAATAAGCACATAGTGTAATGTTTTTGCAAGAAAATTACCATTCAAAAATGCCACAAAACTGCTGAACAAGAAAACAGCATTAAGTGCAAGAATTCATTTTGTACATTTATTCCCATATATCAACTCTTTCATCATTTTAATATTATTGAGGTCCTATGTTTGTCCTCCATATCATTCCAAGTGTGCGAAAATTTAGTCGGCCTACTCAGGTTATAGTATAAGGCAGCATAAGACCCAGTGTATGGGCAACTAAGACATGGCTGCCATCAGGTGTTGATTGATGATATTACAACTCAAAACGACAGTTGACACCTGCATATTCCCAGTTTTGGGTGAATGCCATCGATTGACCAATGTTAGGTAAAATCTAGGCTTCCCACAACGCCATTGAACACCCACACGGCATAAAAAAAATGGATGGATTTATTTCCCCCCCACCCGTATTTCCTCTTACCATTTTGAGGAGATTCGAAGACATATCCCAAAAACGATTAAGATTAAGACTCTGCTTTTTATTTATTTATTTTTAACTTTTGCATTGAGGCTACCTGCATCACAGTGATGTCATTTGTGACATCATGTAAAGAGAATCAAAATTAATGTTTGGTGGTGGCGCGGGGAAGAAGAGGTGGGGTCACAGGCCTCATTCTCATCAATTGGGCAATTGTCCCTAAAGTTTTCCAAGTGGACTTTTTAGGTTGTTGAGGAAGCTACACATGTGATGTGCAGGAATAAAACCATATTCAAATCATTTTTGGACCAAAAAAAAAAGTGTGATTTAACCTTTTGGGGGCACTTTTTCTACATCACAGAAATGCCAAGCTGCAAAAAAAAAAAAAAAAAAAAAAAAAAAATCGTCTCTGCTCCCACTGAGTTTATGTGCTCACAGGAGCATGCAGGGCAGCCGGTCTATTTCAGTCGGCACCCAATGAAGGGCTTTCGAGCTCCACTCCTGTAATGATGTGGCCTCATGGACGGGACAGACAAAAGCAGGCCACTAATTTTGGTCAGCCTTGGGCCCAGAGGCACACAAGACACACCCTGAGTGAAAGGATGTTGGATTATGTTCCACTGGAAGAGACAACGTCAATATGCTGGCCTAGTGATTTAACTCATTGCTTTCTTTGTGCTGCTCAGGTGGAGGATGGCGTTTTAAGCAGGTGTCACAAATGGCTCCACACGTGGGCTGTAAATTTCATACTTGGACTGCTGTGAGGAATTCTGGTGGCTTAGACCACCTCACTTATATGGCTGACATTTAAAATAATGGCACAATGATGTCAACATTTGTTCTTTCAAATTATTTGTTTTTCATTATCTTGTTAGTGGTGATCGTATTTAAAGTGTAATTCATCAGAAACACACATTCTGACTTCAAGTTTGAATTCTGCAAACAGGGAGCAAAATAATCCAAATGTAATATCGCACAAGATACACCAGATATTCTCAGTTTTACAGCGGGAGTTGCAGGAGGCTCCTGCGGGCGTGGCGCACCTCCCCCCCCCCCCAAAAAAAAAGACGAACCACACGTTTCGGGCCAAAGCCAACGAATATAACATTGAGTGCGGTTTCCCCTAAAATAACTGCTGCTGGTGAGAAGGAGCGTCTTGCACGGGGAGAGGCCTCACCACATAATTATGACCCAGATGGAAAGGCCCACAAAGCCTGCAGCAGGTGGCCACATTTTGGACAAAAGTGGCCCAAATGGACTCTCGATTTAGTTCATTCACTAGTAGGCAATAGTTCACCCAAAACACATTTGAATTCAAAGTCACATCCAAGCAATTAATACATGTAATAATAATTTACATCACAGGTAGATGACAGGATTCATGCAGCCAAGAGTCAAAATCATAGTCTAGTCAGACCGATTGTTGTCACTTGGTGAATTCTTGTCATGATGATACATGAGTTGAACCACAACTTAATTACTCCTTAATCACTAAGTCCCATCGTACACAGCAGTGGAAAGCCCCCGTCAAGTTCACTGTGTGCACGCCCTCTGTGATTCTCTGTAAATGTTATGTATTAACGTAATCAGAACCTCTTTGTCACATAACTTTACAAATTATTACTTTCAGCATACACATGAATAATTCCACCAAAAGTAATTTTAAGTTAAACCCCATTGCCCAAATTATGAGTACTATGTAGTGTAGTGTTTCCCAACATTGACTGATGTACCAAACACAAAAACATATGAATACAGAAAAAAATGGGAATCATTGATCTGGTGGATAATGCTGGCAAGGACATTTTGCACTGTACCCACCAGAAGAACACAGGGGTTACATTTTTTGCCCAAATTATGAGTACTATGTAGTGTAGTGTTTACATTTGAGGAAATTTTCTTGGGAACACAATCAAGCTGTGCATCTGCATTATTCTTTGAGCTCCATCTTGAATTTTATTTTATTTTTTAAGTTTTCCAACCTAGATTAAAAATCGTCAGAAATTTAATTCTAACATTACTAGAACAAGATTGTTTTGTTGAATGACTTTCATGGTTCATATACATTTAAAGTACCATGACGTCTGGTGGGATACCACAAATAATTCAGCACAATCTCTAGTACTGCAATTCATCTCTCTTTTATCTGTCCAGATCATTGTTTTAATGCCCTAGTGGTTAATCACAGCTCACATACAGAAAAACAACCATTCTCTCTTCAATTTACTTATCAATCGTGTTTTCGGAATGTGGGAAGAAACTGGAGTACCTGTTGAAAAACCCAAGAAGGCATCGGGAGAACATTCGAAGTGTGAATGTCAGAACTGTAATGCATTCGTGCTAATGACTAGGACGTGAAGCATTCAAATGTAATACAAACTGCACATTTGACTTCTTCCAAATAGAAACGTGTGCTGACAATGGACAAGTGTACGCCAACAAAGAAATGTGGAGCCCTGAACCTTGCAGGATCTGTGTGTGCGAGTCCGGCAGTGCCATGTGTGAGGCCGTGGTCTGCGTTGACCTTGGCGACTGCGCCCAGTCGGTGACCCTGGAGGGCGAGTGCTGCCCGGTGTGCGTCACCCCTGCGGCCACTCCCACGCCAGACCCTTCTGCAGGTTCGTTTGTAAGATGTGTCACTTTGTCAATATTTCTGAACCTTTATTGAGTCAAAACATGCACACAAGACACACCCTGAGTGAAAGGATGTTGGATTATCCATTCCACGATGCACCACCAAACAGAAAGCATAATCAGTGTTACCCTGCAGTTGGCAATGGATGGAGTTCATTCGTAGCTACTAAATAAAGCACTTGGACTAACTTCAACATAGTTCCTTGAAAACAAGATGCCACAAGACAATGGTAAATCATTGCTTTTGTCTAAACACAATTGCTCCACTAATCATAGTTCGTGGTAACAAGAGTCCACACAATAGTGACAAAGCACTATTTTTCTAAATGAAGCTCCTCACCCACTTCAACATAGTTTCTTGGCTCCAAGGGCCTAAAGATAGAGGCAGAACACTCCTTTTGTCTAAATGACACTCCTCAACTCTCTGCAACATAGTTTCATAATTCCTTTATTTAATATCACGATCTAATTTATATTTTGTATTGTTTTAAAGTATAGTCCCATTCCACTGCTGCTGACATAATCTCATATTTTGCGCCTGAAAGAACTGGAGTACATGGGCTTTATTTGAAAGTATTTGAATTGACTGAATGTTCGAAAGGCCTTCCTTGAGCTATTTTGATTTGCTGATAATATGTGCTGCCCTTTTATGTCTTTGTTTTATACCTTCATGTTAGAGACCACAAAAGAAATAAGCCCTTTGGCTTTATTTTGTTTTTATACTCGGTGTTGGCTGAATGAGAGATGGGATGTTTTATTGTGCTGTCTCCTGTGCTTTGCCAAATAAATTCAATTAATCAAACCAATATTCCAAAGATGGTGACAAAGCACTACTTTTGTCTAAATTAAGCTTCTCTACCCACTTCAACATCATTCTTTGGTGCCAAGATGTCACAAGATGGTGGGAAAGCACTACCTTTGTCTAAATGACACTCCTCAACTCTACATCATTCCTTAATTAACACCTAGATGCCAAAGATTGCGGCAAGGCACTAGTTATGTCTAAATAAAGCTCTTTAACTAAACTACTTCAACATAGTTCCTTGTCATCAACATGCCACAGAAGGGATTTTAATGCTTCGGCCTGAGAACAAACACAGCAAATTGTTTTTCAGTGAATACACGAGGGGGAAAGAAAAATCAGAGAATACACAGGGGTTCACTGCAAACAAGAAATAATGATGCTCTCGTCTCAATTAACTATTTGTGATACTGAAACTGACTCCGTGTAAAATTCTACCATGTAGTGGAAGAGTTTTGTCCGTCATGACTCGGTGCTAGTATGGATAGATTAACACACCGGCATATTGATGATGTCCTTGACTCATTCTGTACCCCGCTGCAGCTCCCGTGGAAGACTTGAGCTGTGAAGTGGATGGCGAGATCTACGCTAACAACGACATTTGGAAGCCCGCACCGTGCAGTGTGTGCGTGTGTGACAACGGCGTGAGCATTTGCAGCGACGTGCAGTGCGAGATGGTGCCCAACTGCCAAAAGATGGTGACCCCAGAGGGCGAGTGCTGCCCAGTGTGCGAAAACCTGGCCAGCGCCACCAGACACATCGGTAAGGCCACACGGATCAATCTGTAGTTTTGCACCCTGACCACAAGGGTGCGCTGCTGTATAAAGTTAAAGCATCAATTACAAGTTGTAACATAACTTTTATAATAATTTTTTTTGTTTACCACTTTCTCTTCTAGCAATCATGGGTTATAGGGTAAGTCATGATATTTGCATTTTCAATACCATCACTCACTTTAAGCAATATAAGAAGTGGGAAGTATATTACATGGACTTAAAGCTCTGGAAAAAAATTCTGACATCCCTGAAAATGATCAGTTACCATGATCTTATTATTTGAAGGATTGTGTTTTAGTTTATTTTAAAAACTAGTGTTGACATAACGCCATTATTTCAAATCAAAATATTTTCATTTACAACATTTCTTTCCATAAAATGAAAAATAGGAAAAATATTTTTAAAACGGGCAATTTTGGGGTGATGTCAGTATTTCCAGAGTAGTTACAAATGTAATGAAATGTTTGTCTTCTAAAGTAATATCACAATTTTGAATATCCAAGTATGTAAAGGACCTGCTTATGTAGTTAAGACTGATTTCTTTCTTATACAGGGAGAGAAGGGTGAACCAGGTGATGTTCCACATGTAAGTTGTAAATCGCAGTTTATGCAAGTTCAAGAGTTCTGTCTTGATTTGAAACATGATGATATGATGATTTATTCTCTCACTCAGCTGGTGGGAATCCCTGGACCTCGAGGACCCTCTGTGAGTTTTTATTAGATATAAGTACCAGCAAGGTTAGAATATATGTATGTATTTAAAAATGAATGTATCTGCCGTGTTTCTGTTTCAGGGTCCTCCAGGTGCTCAAGGAAGAACTGGACATAGAGGGTTTAAAGGCAGAAGGGTAAGTCAGAACCTCAGTGAGAGGTTGTGTCCTTGAACTTTGATCTTAAAATGAACGGTAGGGCCAATCAGCTGGGAAAGTTAGAAATAAATCTTTTTGAGTTTTGATGTTCAAATACAAGAAGTAAAAAAAAAAAAAACGTATATTTAATATATATTTTTTAAACTGATGACAAAGTGTTAGTGTAAAAAAATCACAATGCAATCTACAGGGATTCCAAGGGCCACCAGGTTTTGATGGAGAGCCTGGCATCCCAGGAAACCCAGGCGAGCCCGGCCCCCCTGGTTTTCCTTCCCTTCCTGGGGTGAGATTGACTGCAGCATCCGATAAGCAAAAAAGAAAAAAAAAACTTATTTGAATGTCGATTTTTATTATTTTTTTTGTCACCCAAAGGGGAACTTTGTGTCACAAATGGCTTCAGGTTTCAATGAGAAGTCAGCAGGCCTGAGTGGAATGGTCTCGGGATCAAGGGTGAGCGCACACCCGTATGTCCATTTAACATTAGGAATTACGATGCAGCTCATAAACATGAATTGTTCATGTTTCAGGGTGAATCAGGACCAAGAGGACCTCCTGGGTCGACTGGACCACCAGTAAGTTTGGCACTGTTAGATTAGGCCTCTTTATAATTAGATGGGTGATTTGAGCTAGGCCGTTGTGTCACTGTGATCTTTCCTCCTGGCTAGGCATATCTATATAGGATACCCTTGGTATACTTATTACTTAATTTCAGTTAAGGCCGTGATGTCACACATTGTCACATGGGCTAGGCAGAGTCATAGAGTGGGTGGCCAAGAATATAAGAGCATAAGAGTAGAAATCCCGAGGGCTGGGGTTTGACCTTCTTTCTCAAGCTCGCAGAAAAGGTTCCACGGCCATGTCTTCTTTCTGGCATCTATTAAGTAGTTCAACTGAGAATAGGCATTCTTCTGGTCATTACTATGACAATAGCGAGCATTAAAGATTAAAAAAAAAAAAAAACGGGGCAAAGGTTCCCTCATAACTTTTCAGCACTCATGTTGAAGATTCTGTAAGATGGCTACAAAAGGGTGTCAAAGTCATTTTGCCATATCGTAGTTAGGATTTCCATCAATGGACCTTTGCTGGATTTTTGTAAAGAAGGGATTTGGTGGGGAAAAATGCTGGTTAAAAGTGAAAATACAAACATTTTAGTAAGTTGTAACTCTTTGTTTTATTGGGCCACTAAAAGTGATAACCGCTGACTTCCAGGACTTGAGTTACACAGGCAGAAGACAGAATGCAAATAACCATTTTTGTCACTTTAGGTGTAAAACGTTGATGTTTTGGCTATAATTAGCTAACATTTGTTGTCTGTTCTTGTCCAGGGACCAACCGGTGGCCAGGGACTCCCAGGCGAGGCTGGAGAGCCAGGACATATGGTAATGTCTTCACGCTGCCATTAGGACTTTTTTTGCCAAGCGTGCATTCATGGACTGGAGACAGATATGTTCTATATGTTTGCAACTTTGACGTTTCCTTGTGTTTATCCTTAGGGTGAACCAGGTCTTCGAGGGCCAGAAGGGTTGCCAGGAAAAAGTGGTCCCGATGTCAGTGAAGCATCACAGAAGCAACACTTATTCATTCATTCAATAGTCTTACTAAGGCCTGCATGCTGTAAAGATCGTTGTTGTTCAGATTGTTTGTAGTACCAAAATGACGGTTAGCTTAATTATTATGGGTAACTGTTGTTTTTATTTGCTTAGGGAGATGTTGGACCCCCTGGTCCCACGGGAGAGACGGGATTCCAAGGATCAGTGGTAAACAAACAATTTCCCCCTACACTGCTCTTCTGGCTTATTGTTCTTTTCAGTCGATTTCATATTAAATGATGTCATCTCCTTAGGGTGCACGAGGGTTACCGGGTACTCCAGGTGTCCCAGGTCTCAAGGGTCACAAGGTATAGCCCTGTTGGCTCTTTAAAATTGTCTCATGTTTTTGGACATTAGCGAAGAACTTGAAAATCTCTTTCCAACAGGGTGAGACGGGCATTTTTGGTCCGAGAGGTGAGGCTGGTGCTGCCGGTGTCAAGGTAAGATTTTAATAATGGTGACAAAATGCAACCCCAGAGGCAATGTTTTTTAAGCTTCATTGGCTCTTTGTCATTGTGTTCTGCAGGGTGGTTCTGGTACTCCTGGTGCCATGGGTGCTACTGGCCCAGTGGTAGGCAACACATACATTAAACACAGCACCATTTTTGATGTAGACAGGTACTGAGAACGAATTTTCTTTCAGGGTCCACCAGGCTTATTGGGAGAGAGAGGAAGAGCGGGCCCACCTGGTGCTGTGGTAAGCACAATCATCTGTCATCTATGTTTATTTGGAGTGCCCAAAATATTGCAGAATTGAGACAGTCGATCTGTTTCTGGTTTAGGGAAAACGCGGTGCAGCCGGACATACTGGCAAACCAGGGCCCCTGGTAAGGACAATTTTGGTTATTTCATGTCATTCTGCAAACAGAATGAATGTGTAGTGAGTCAGACATTTTCTAAATCATGATCTCCTTCAACCACAGGGTCCTATTGGAATCCCTGGTGTGCCAGGCTTCCCAGGTGCCCCAGGACAGAAGGTACAATTATAGTTTTGCTTTGAAATTAGACAAATAAGGTTAGCCAATCCCACGAATGACCTCTTCTATGATACTTTGAACATCTCCAGGGTGAAGTGGGACCTCTTGGTGTGAGAGGAAGTCCAGGTCAGCAGGGACCCAGAGGAGATGCGGGTCACATTGGACAACTAGGGCCCACCGGACAACAGGTCAGGATGTGCAGAAATCTGTTCATGAGCAGAAAAGTTGATGTTGCTGTACCTAAACATGTCATTGGTTACTAACAGGGAGCCGTAGGCCCCGATGGAGCCCCAGGAACCAGGGGGGCAACAGTACGTGAGCCAACTACCAAGTTCTCTTTTGGCATCAGTGAAGTTTGTCATTGAGTCTACCACTTCTTTCCAGGGCCTAGCAGGTGTCATGGGTCCATCAGGACTTGTAGGCCCCGTTGGGCCCCCAGGACCCCAGGGAACCACAGGAGCACAGGGACCAAAAGGCCAAGATGTAACAGTCTAAAAGGAGACACAACACTTTCTCTATGTCTTTTGTCACTTAACGTAAAGAGCCATCTTTTCTCCAGGGTGACGTCGGTGTGGCTGGAGTCAAAGGAGAAGCTGGAATGAAAGGCGAAAGAGTGCGTAAATGTGAACATCAAAACATTTAAATCACTTCCATTATAACTTAGTGGAACACAGGTGAACATTGTGTAATTGCAACTTGTTGTCAGGGCGACCATGGTGTTCCAGGTCTGATAGGCCCCATGGGAGATGATGGGAAGCGTGGACCTCGAGGTGATGCGGGGTCTGTCGGTGACCCAGGACCTATGGGCGAGACGGTGAGTTGTCCCAATATGTCACAACAGGGAAGCTTTGCAGGTTAAATAGTTACAAATGTCATTCGCATTGTTATGCAAAAAGTGTCATACAATTTTATTTCATGGATTTGTTTTAGGGCATCCCTGGAAATCGCGGTTTCCCTGGTACAGATGGTTTTCCTGGTGCAAAAGTGAGTTTGTCGAACAAATTCATGACATTTGAGTTCCCTTTGAGGTTTCCAGATCCCTCCGATGTTTGAGTCTTTCTAGAACCAAAATGAAACATAGTGAACCAGCATTTGGGTTTCTCTGCTCATCAAGTGTGTAACAAAGTTCCTGAACACCTGAGATCTGCTCATGCTGTTGTTACATTTAAATGTCACCTGAAAACTTTGTTTCCTGCTGCCTTTTTCATAAATCAGAAATATTCTTCTGCCATGTTGCTTTTATTTTAGTGCTCTGTGAAGCACTATGGAATAACGCTGTGTATAGATGTGGCCATATTAATAAGCCTGCCTTTACTAGTCTTGCCTTACAACGAAACCCGATCAACAGTCTATTTTTCTCTTTTCAAAATGCGCTTTTCTTCTGTCACAGGGAGCTCAGGGAGAAAGAGGGCTGCCAGGCGCAGCGGGCCTGAAAGGTCCGGCAGGAGATCTGGGACGACCTGGAGAGCCGGGTTTAACTGGTGCTCGGGTAAGCCTTTTTTCAAACCACAATTGTATACTAAGCTGTGAGGAACACATTTTTATCTTGTCACATATAGCTTCACCTCTCATAAATCCAATCTTGATGCTATGTTTTGTCTAACAGGGCCTGTCTGGAATTATCGGTGCTGAAGGAGGAGAAGGCAAACCAGGACCACAGGTTTGTAAGAATTCTCCTTCGTGAGTCTTTCTGAAGCCAATGCTGCATTTTTGAGCATTGGAAGTTGTCTCCTGCAGGGCTCAGCAGGAGACGATGGCAAACCAGGCCCAGCTGGTTCCACAGGAGGTCGTGGTTTAGCTGGACCCATGGGCCTGCCAGGACCAAAAGGCCTCACTGTCAGTTGAACTTGTTTCATTTAACTAAGAATGCAAAGCCGTTTTACACAGCATAGATGATGCTGATGTCTTTGAAACTTTCAGGGTGATCCTGGAAAGAACGGCGACGCTGGCAGTGCTGGCTCACAGGGTCAAAGAGTATGTTATTTTCTATTGAAAAGTGAATTGACTATCAATCCAATTAAGAACTGAAATGATGATAAAATACTTCAAACGTCCTCCAGGGAGTGAATGGAAAAGACGGCGAGGAGGGTGCTGCCGGTCCAACTGGCCCAGCGGTGAGTGGCGCGCTCAGGACTCTCACCACATTCCCTTGATAAAAGCATGATTAGGTTAATTCAATACATACAGTAGCCTACCAACAGTATAATGTAATAAACAAAAAGACTTCCATGAGAATGAATGGGAAAATATAGGAGTTTGCAGGGAATGGGAGAATTGAATTGCAATTGAAAACAGAAATGTGCCCACATTTTTAATCCTCTGATTAAAAAACAAAAACAAACACAAAAAAGCAGAATCCATCATCTCTCAATTTTATGCACAAATCATGCCAAATATTCCACAGGTATTGAAGCCTTATCCTCTGCATTTACTGAGAAAAGTGTAAAAAATGCAAGCTCTGTGCAATATTCATTAAAAAATTCATTTTGTGCGTATGAAATATGGAGATAATTAGTGCCCTGATGAATTATTCCAAAATATATCTGCAAAATGCTCTGCATCTTTTCTGCTTTTCATCACATACTCTGTCATGTAGGGTTCTGCAGGGAAGAGAGGGGAGCAGGGCCCACAGGGACCCATTGGCTTTCAGGTAAGAAACCACTACAAACAAAAACTTTACAATAATAGACGTTATGCATGAACATGCTTGTTTATACGAGCATGTGTGATTTTCAGGGTTTGCCCGGAGTGCCGGGCCCACCCGGTGAATCTGGTAAACCAGGAACTGAGGTGTGTAAATAAAATCAGACAGAAAGTATTCTTGTTTTGAATACGTTTTCCGGATCAAATAAAGTCACACAGAATATTTCTGTAATGACCAATGAATAAAGTATTTTGAATGATGCCTTCAGGGACTTGCTGGGGAGGAAGGCTCTGCCGGAACTTCCGGATTGAGGGTAAGTCAGTGGCTCTTGCTTTGCTTCGACAGTGTCATAATTGAATCCACTTGCTGTACATCATGGCCATCATGACCCTGTACCAACAGGGAGAAAGAGGGGCTCCTGGTGGCAGAGGTGAAACCGGACCCAAAGGACTGCAGGGACCTAAGGGTAGTCCAGGTAGTCCGGGCCCGGATGGACTGAAGGTATCAGAAGGATAAATGCCACTGTTTCTTTGTTCGAATTTTAGCTATAGTAAATATTATTCACCTGAGTGCTGGTGTATTTTAGGGAAAATTTGGTGTAAAGGGAGCTACTGGAGAAACAGGAAGTCCAGGACTCCAGGGCATGCCAGGGGAAAGAGGCATCCCAGGATCCTCAGGCCCAAAAGGGGATGTGGTTAGTGCCGCCTGCAACCTACTCCTGATTAAAGCAATTTCAGTGTTTGACACATGATGGCCAAATGTGGATCTCGTCAAACAGGGCTCTGTGGGTGAAATGGGACTCGAAGGCAAAGCTGGAGTTGATGGAATTCGGGTGAGTTGTTTGTACCAGATTTCTCTGAAACAAGAATTACTTATTTTGAACATCTGAAATCAGGGGTGTCAAAACCATTTTTGGACCACTGTCCACTGCAGCATACACCAACAGCGTCAAATTCGGCCCGCCACATCATTTTATGTAGCCCGTGATACCAAAACTTCCATGATTCTTGCTAAAAGCTACCAACATTTTAAATATACATACATAACAATCTTCAGATATTGCATTTTTTTGGTTACCAAAACCCTTTTTACATTTAAACAGTCACTACTCTTGACTTCTGACTTAAAAACGAGTGATGCATCAGTTTGTTGTGTATAATGGCAATTACACATTGTGTATGGTTTCACAGACATAACATCCCTTTGAGGGAATCTGTAACTGAAATACAATTACAATGTGTGACACTCCTGACATCTACTACCAGATTGTTGTCATAGTGATCTTGTCTAGTTCAAAATAATCTGCTTATTCCGCTTAGATTGTTCATATTTTGATTCTGAATGTGGAGATTCATCAGCTTTTGACCAGTGAAGAGGCAGATCTATTTAAATTCAAAAGATGGCTGAGGACCACCCCAAATCCTAAACTATTCGCCATAGAAACTGAAAGCTGTGACGAAGCACTTAAAAATAGCTGGATTTGTTTTCAGCATGCAGCCCTAAGAGGAAAAAAAATGTGGGTGTCTTGAACTAAAACCCACGCCTTAAACTATTAGAAGGTCTGATAAATGTGTGGGATCAGTATTTTTTCCAAATTGTGCAAATACTTTGCAGTAACACATTTTTGTCTATTAAAGGGTGGGTCTGGTCCAGTTGGACCTCCAGGTGCGGTTGGAGCCAACGGTGCCAAGGTAAGACTTCCTGATGTTTAAGTTTTACATTAAAAGACATCAACATTTTACAATACTGATTTGATTCAATTGAGTGAGGTAATGCAAAACCCAGCTTTTCTGTGTGCGTCTGTGTTTTTCAGGGAGAAACAGGCTCCCCCGGACCCAACGGACGCCGAGGGACAAGAGGAGTACCTGTGAGTAAAACACCTTGGTCACCAGAATTTATTATGAATAATCACTGTTGCTTCTGACTTTCAAGTGTCTACCATTTACAGGGTTCGACCGGTGAGCCTGGTGCAACGGGTGCAGCAGGTTTCCCTGGAACTGCTGTAAGTCACCGGTTCAAAAATTTCTACAAAATACTGAAATTGGTCCAAAGCCCACTTGCTTACTCTTTGTTTGTTTTTTCTCAGGGTGCTGAAGGTCAGCCTGGGGTGAAAGGTGAGACCGGGGAACCAGGCCTTAAGGGAGAGGCAGGACCACCTGGACCACCAGGAATGGCTGGCACACCGGGAGTACAGGTGTGCATTACTAACAAAATGAAATTGAGGGATGCATGCTTTTTTCACATTTTTTTAAACCAGTTCCCAGTAGTCTTAATAAAGCCGCAAATTTTCAGCCTCACAGAACTGTGCCTGTTTTGAGGGGGTAGTCCTGTTCTATGTAAATGAGCCACTACCCAGCCCACCTTCTCGAACGTGCGGCCAATGCCGAGTAGGGCTTTTTTTACTTAAGAGCTGACTACTAATCGTGAGCCGTGAGTTTTAAAAAGTGAGAGAATCTTGGTGCACAGGTGGTTAATATGTAAGTGTAGCTTTGTCACAAAGTGGTACCATTCAAAAGGCCTCGTTCAAAAATAAATAGGTAGCTAACACATCATGTAGTAGGTTGTGGATACTGAGTAATTAAGAAGTCATATATTTCTTCCTAAATATTTTACTTGATGAACTAATGGAGATATATGTTTAAGGGCCCGGTCGGTCTGACTGGACTTAAAGGTGGCAGAGGAACACAGGGCGCAGTGGTGAGTTGACTTTAGCACCACCCACCATGGTTCTGTCAAGAAGCTCAACACATCCGCTGTTGACACAAGCATCATCATAAATGTTCTCTTCCCATAGGGTTCTACTGGTTTCCCTGGCTTGCCTGGAGGTGTCGGTCCACCTGGTTCTCTTGTGAGTCCACTTGGATCATGCTTGGAAAGACAATACTTTTCGAATTGATCAATGGTTTTGTAACTTGGAATGTTGCGTTCATGTATGTGCTAGGGTGCTGTTGGAGCAGATGGCCTCATTGGTCTAACTGGAAAGCAGGGCCCACCTGGCATTCGTGGGGAAAATGGGGCGCCCGGACTTCAAGGCGAGATTGGTGCTCCAGGCCCGGCAGGCACACCTGGAGATAAGGGTGATTCTGGAGAGGATGGTTCTCCGGTGAGTAGAAAGTAGTTTGATTAAGCGCAACCTGCTGCACATACTGTGCACAGTCCTTGATTGAGTTTGTGTTTCTCTATCAGGGTCCTCTTGGGCCTCCCGGACCTGCCGGTGCTACAGGGCAGCGAGGCCCTGTTGGTCATCCTGGAGCGAGAGGAGAGGGAGCAATGCCAGGCCTGCACGGACCTGCGGTACGTCGGATTCGCCCAGCTACCAACCACTTCAGGTGGATCATGTTTACGATTTATTGTCCTCTTTTTTATGTAGGGTCTGCCTGGAAAACCGGGAGCTCCTGGAGTTCAAGGTGGAAAAGGTCCTCCTGGTGGAGTCGGTCCTGTGGGAGCTACTGGGCCAAGAGGAGATGCAGGCCCTGAGGTTGTTGGGTTTTACAGCAGGTTATGCCAAAACTATTCATTTGTATGAGTCTGTTTGTTAAGTTTGTCATGTGTTGAATCAGGGCGTGGCTGGTGAAGATGGACCTACTGGGACGGACGGACTCTTAGGGGAAAGGGTAGGTGTAGACACGTGACAAGGCCTGTGTCCAAGCACCTGTGTATGTATACCCATCGTCACTGTATGACTTTACAGGGGGATCGAGGTAATGCTGGTCCCGAGGGATTGGCTGGAGGCCCAGGTTCTCCAGGAAATGAGGGTCCAGTGGGACCTACAGGTAGTCCAGGACCAAGAGGTGAAAATGTGAGTTATACCGATGCAATTATCCTCACATACATGGTAACACAAGTGTAATGGTACTTTTGTTTATACTTCCTGCTGTTTGGATATTTTGGATTTAGGGTGCCAAAGGCTCTCCTGGACCCCATGGAGCACCTGGAGTACGAGGCAAAGCGGTGAGAATCACTGCACAGTCTCACTTTTGCTATCGTCAAACAGGATATTGAATCTCTTTCGAAATCTCTTTAGGGCCCCCAAGGACTGCAGGGAGAAAAAGGACCAGCTGGTGAAGAAGGAGAGAGGGGTCAGAAAGGTCACAGAGGTTTCACTGGTCTCCACGGTTTGCCAGGAATTGCTGTAAGAGGATATTGTATCTTGTATGCGTCTTTGAAGAGAAGAAAAAAGAATGAAGACCACTGCTGCTTTTTTTGTCCTTCAGGGGGCTACAGGGGATGCAGGTATTCCAGGTATTGTCGGACCAGGTGGACCAAGGGTAAGGCGCAGAAAACATTCGCTGACTGAAGACAAAACACAACAGAACTATATTATCTTCTGACTGCACAGGGTCCTCCAGGTGTGGTGGGTCCACCTGGTAAGGAGGGGAACATCGGTCAGCCAGGAGCAATGGGTGCACCTGGAAGCAGAGGAAACAGTGGCGACGTTGGAGTTCAGGTAACACATTGGTACACTGTTATGCTGTCTTCCTGTAGACCAAATCCCCCATGGTATTTTAATCGTATTGCCAGGGCCCTGTTGGAGAACCAGGACCTCCTGGGCCTCCAGGCCCACCTGGACCTCCCACTGCAGCTCTGAATGAGTACTTTGCAGCTCCCTTGGATTTCGATGAGCATGCCGTGCCAGAAGCTGTGGAGTTTTTCAAGGATGATGTGGCGGCTGACCCTCCTCCACTTCCAGAGTTTAATAAAGATGAGGCTCGTGCTGATAAGAGTCCCGTCATCATTCATACCACTCTGAAGATTCTCAGCAGGCGTGTGCATAACATTCGCAGCCCAGATGGGACAAAGGAGAACCCTGCAAAGACATGTCAAGACATCAAGCAATGCTACCCACAGAAACCAAGTGGTAAGAGTTCCCTTCTCAGTAATACCTGAAAAAAATCCTTACACCTTCTCCACCATGAAAATACATTTTTGTTTATATCCAGGCGAGTATTGGATTGATCCTAACCAAGGAAGCACGAAAGATGCCATCAAGGTCTTCTGCAACATGGATAGTGGTGAAACCTGCATCACTGCTAATCCAGCCAATATTTCCCGCAAAACCTGGTGGACAAAATCCACTCCCAGTGTCAACAAACCCATTTGGTTCGGATCCCAGATGTATGGCGGAACCCCAGTAAGCAGATGATATGATTATTGCTGTGCACCGATAGCCTATTACTTTCTTTAATTACTTTTGGACAACCATTGACCAATTCAGAATGTCTGTAAGTAATAGGCTCACAAATTCCGGTTGGGAGAACAAAAGAAACCACAGACGATCTGAACTTAAACCATGATAAAACGTTGTTTGTGGGGTTGTGCCACCAGACATTCCACAAAATATTTTTTTTTTGTAAAAAAATGAATTCATTCAGGCGAACCTGTGAGTGAGGCAAACATAGCATAATTGTGAAGAAAGCAAGACTGCCTGGTGACGGAGTAGCCGCTTTGAAAACACAGACTAGAAACCAAACCTCCATCATGCGTTGCTGGGTAAACTGCAGCACTTTCCATGATCCCTTCAGAAGAGCACATCAATAAAATCATGCTCAAGCCAACATAGCCTTTTTAGACCATCTACTATTCTCTAACAAGTATTCAGTCAAGAATCACTCAATGGTTGGCCAGGTTAATTTACAAATTATGGTTGTACATCTACCATACTATTTGTGGGTTGGCCCGGTTCTTTCCCCCCTGTGAATATCGGGGGGCAACTTTAGTCCGCTTTTCACTGAGCAGTGCCATTCAGTTCATTGCAGTACGCGGCACATTTTTTGGGCCTTTTCATTGTGCCACCATCATTTTCCACTGCTTGGTGGATTCTTGGCTAAAGATGCACATTGGAATGTTGTGACTTTACTGAAATCTTTGTGAGTTTTTTTGGGAATAAATAAGTATAACTGTGTCCAACCGTTTCAGTTCCGCTACGGAAACAACGAGGAGCAGCCAAACACAGTGGCAGTTCAAGTGAAGCTACTGCAGCGTCTCTCCAAAGAGTCCCACCAGAGCATTACCTACCACTGCAAGAACAGTGTGGCTTATAAAGACGGCAAGGGCACCATGAAGAAAGCCCTCATCCTCAAAGGGGCCAACGGTCAAGAGTTGAGGGCGCAAGGCAATAGCCGCCTGCAATACACCGTCATTGAAGATGGCTGTGCGGTTAGTCCTCAACAAATGAAAGAGCACAATATCAGAGATGAGAAAGAGTTGCATGTTTTGTCTCTCCTTTTTCCACAGAAGTCTCAGGGCAATTGGGCTAAGACAGTGTTGGAATACAGGACTCAAACCCCAATCAGGCTGCCCATTGCGGACGTTGCTCCCATGGACATTGGAAAGGCCAATCAGGAGTTCGGCCTTGACATCGGACCTGTGTGTTTCTCATAAAACACCGCACCAGGAAAAAAAAATTGTGTGTGAATTTGAGAAAATGACTCCACTTCCTGTGAGCGCTGTGGATGAAAGTTACACCGTTACTGTCACACGTAGCTGGAAAAGACGCGTGTCTGGTGGAAGGCCACCATTATTTATTCATCTTGTCTGTGAACCTTCATATAGTCTTTTGAGGAAAGGTGCTGTCAACAACTGCCTAACTCTAAAAGATGAGATACCTTGTGAGGCATTCAGATTAAGAAAATGACAGACTAACATATTTTCAATACAGAACATTCACGTTTAAGTTTGCACGTGTAGCTCCCACTCTCTGGATAGAATAAAATTATGGATCCTAAATTAAGTTCTGTTCACAGTCATTTAGTCTTTCAAAAAAAATGTTTTGTGTGTTTTGCTCAAACTCTTGAAATGTCACCTGTAAATGCTACATGCTTGACTGTAAATTAAAATTTATTTGTTTTATTGTTGACAATTGATTTAGAATAAAGGTCATTATTTCTGGGGTGGCTGAGCTCATTCCATGCAATAAAGCGCAAGAATAAGATAACATTTATTGAACATGTATGAAACAACAAAATACTGCCCAGGTAAAGTCTCTCCACTAGGGTGTACTGTTCATTTGCAGCAACTCTCAGTTCTATCCCGCCATCCTCATAGAAGAACTTCCTCACTGGGTGGCTGAAATGAAACCAAGTAGTTTAGACAAAATGTATTTCTTTTAGGCCACAAATGACTTCTAGCTTCAGGACACATGCTGACATGGCAGGCGTTTCCCCACATTTCAACATGTGTAAATGTTGGGGTGTGTGAGCGAGCACAAAGAGCTTGAGAGGAGCAAGGCGTCCTTACAGGAAGAACAAGGGCCAAAGTTCAGCCTGCACATGTTTGTGGGTCGACCTTGCCGCCGCACCAGCGCTGAAAGAAAGCCCACTCTCGCCACTTCCTGCAGCTAGGCCGGGCATCGGTGGAGGAGGTCATTTTTAGAGGGTTGGCTATTTTCATGTCGGGCGTAAAAATTCAACATGAGGGTGTGACTCTGAGGTGTGTGTGAATATGTGTGTATCTTGCCCACTTCAGGCAGATTTTGTCACTTAGAAGCTTGTCAAACAGTACAGAAAATCGATTCGATATCATAGTAATGTATGCATTGGTATTCCATACATTCGACTGAATTTGATTGCTATTCACACAAAGGGCTGCAAAATCACAACCCATTCAAAAATTAACACACTCCATCTAAAAATAACTCCTATTCCAAAATGTTTATTGAAAACAATTCAAACAAAGAATTGAACACTGGCTGGATAGGGACTCTCGAGGACAAGACTTGGGCTCCCGTGGTCTTGTGTTTTTATTCTATTTTTACTCTGTGTTGTTATTCTAATTTGTAAACACTCTCCTTTGTGCTGCTGTGACGCCTACATTTTCCGTCTGGGGATCATTTGAGGATTATTTTATCTGAATCTCCATGAAAATTCCACTAATTTTCCCTGCCCTAGTCACACATAGCTTCACTTACATGCTCAAAGTTTTTACATTTGGGCGGCTCCTTTTATCCACGCAGGCTCTCTAGGCGCCTGCGACCCAGAGATGACTTGGAAGTAACGCCCAATCGACTCCAGCTGGGATGTCTCTTGCTCACGAAGGAGCCTCTGTACGAGATTTCCCAGCAACTCCTTTTCCTTCCTGCACACCATATGAACCTGCATCTCTCTGCGGTCACTCCAAAACGCCTCAGCAACATCCTGAGAGGTGCTCCTACATTTATATTACGTTTATATTCAAAGCGGGATATGCCACAATGGTTTGTCAATTGCGGGAATGAGTTGTTGTGAGATGACACATTTTGTCATTTTCCGCCTGGAGTGTAGATTACTCCCACAGATAACTAATGCTGTCATGCAGGAATGAAATGCAGATGAACAAATCTGAATAGAACATTGCTGAACATGTTTGCCGATATTGAATGTTTGACAATTTATTTTCTCACACAACCACCCCACCGCCATCCATGATTGTTAAGGGTAATGGACCATTTTAACATCCCACCTTTTCCAGGATCCTGGGCGGAGTCTCATATGGTGGCAGCATCGAGAACAATGGCAGGAAACTGGAAGAGGAGTGAGGAAGTTCCTGTTGGCAGATGATGCTGAAGACGAGACTGACCATACGCCTTGCACGTACTGGTCCACTGTAGGAAATGAAATCTTCAGCTTTGAAACACTGTGATTGTTTCGGGTGGTTTGTTCTAATCATCATCATCATCATCATCATCATAGATCAAATCACTTTCACACTGGAAAACTTCTTGATAGCTAATCTTCCTAACCTGACTTTCCCTGAGTGAACCCTCCTAAGGGAGTATTAAATTATGAATGGAAGTAGTATTAACTCTATCTATTCCGCCATGCTGTTTGAACTTAAATGTTAAATCAACCAGTATGATTAAATTATTTAAAATGAGTGTAATTAACATTCAGTCCAGTGTTGAACTTTGCCCACAATGAATTATTAACTGCGGAGGCTGTTTTGACATTCATAACTGTCATGCAAGTTTGAAAGTAGGTTATTCACTTTAATATTACCTATATCAGTCAACAAAACAACCTCTTAACTTCAATGATGAAAAGGGAAGTCGTAATAGCCGGTGTGAAGTGTCACACTGTCATGATCCTGTCCTGTTTGTTTTGTTTATTTGGTCTCCAGCTGGAGAATCGGCATTCACTCACGAGTTGCACCTGTCTCAAATCTGGCCATGTTACTTCTTTCCTTTAAAAGCCATGCCACGCCGATAACTGGCTGTCGGATTATTGAGCCTTGCTCACAACTCCGGCCTCAAGAGCTTCAATTCTCGAGACATTTTCTGTATTTTTTTTTCTCATAGCCTTTGCCTAGTAATTCATAGTATTTTTGTTCTGTAAGTGTCCTTGTTATGTAGTCTCGGTTTATGTTCTTCGGTTTATGGATATTTACGTCTGCTACACTGCTGTGTTTTGATGTTGGTCATTGATGTCACTTTGACAGCTACACGTAATTTCTTTTGTAGCTGGAACAATGTGTAAAATGTTTGAGATGATTTATCATGTTAGATCAGGACCAGCCTCACACTTGAACATGATCATGTGATGCATGCCTCCACCCTTTGGACTCTGCCTTCAGGCTGTGGGGGTCTGAGAGGGCCGTGCGGACATCCTGTGTCCCCGCCCAGACAGGGTCGCTTCCACACATGCAGACCACATAGCTCACCCTTTAATTGCACGCCCTCCATACCTTCAAGTGTGGACAAGAACTCATTCTATTGTTCTCAAGAGTCATATGTTCCTGCACTCAAGTGTCTTCATCATGCCCAGAGCCAGATGTGTGAGTTGTGTGTGCTAGCTGGAAAAATTTCCAATGCACGACACCTCCCCTTCTTTCTCTTCAGTTTCATCGTGGTCATGTTTATATTTCTTCGACTCCTGATTAGTATCTTTTCTTGAGTGCCATTTCAACATCATCAGGTTATACAGGTATACATCAGTGACCCCTATCGGATCCCACCGTGGCCCATTTTGACCACACATGATAATTACCTAAAGTAATGCGCCCGTGTGTGTGTGTGTGTGTGTGTGTGTGTGTGTGTGCATGTTAGATCAGGACCAGCCTCACACTTGAACATGATCATGTGATGCATGCCTCCACCCTTTGGACTCTGCCTTCAGGCTGTGGGGGTCTGAGAGGGCCGTGCGGACATCCTGTGTCCCCGCCCAGACAGGGTCGCTTCCACACATGCAGACCACATAGCTCACCCTTTAATTGCACGCCCTCCATACCTTCAAGTGTGGACAAGAACTCATTCTATTGTTCTCAAGAGTCATATGTTCCTGCACTCAAGTGTCTTCATCATGCCCAGAGCCAGATGTGTGAGTTGTGTGTGCTAGCTGGAAAAATTTCCAATGCACGACACCTCCCCTTCTTTCTCTTCAGTTTCATCGTGGTCATGTTTATATTTCTTCGACTCCTGATTAGTATCTTTTCTTGAGTGCCATTTCAACATCATCAGGTTATACAGGTATACATCAGTGACCCCTATCGGATCCCACCGTGGCCCATTTTGACCACACATGATAATTACCTAAAGTAATGCGCCCGTGTGTGTGTGTGTGTGTGTGTGTGTGTGTGTGTGTGTGTGTGTGTGTGTGTGTGTGTGTTTGCAAACTGATGTGTACATTTTGGTGGCATTTAGTCCATGCATCACAAAACATAATCCAGTTCATGCAGAGAATTTAAGGTGACTTGAAAGAATAACTTTGCATCTTGTGCATAAGGCACATAACGTGATATCTTCATTTATACAAACAAAACATCACTATCAGTTTGTCTTGGAGAGCATTATTAAGGAGAAATTGAAGTGAAATATACAGTATGCTTGCTTCAAAAATATAAATATAAGTAAAACAAATAGCAAGGATGTGAAAACAGAATTATTGCATGTGCCTGGTACTATGTCAGCTAATGTTTTTAGTGTGTTTTTATGACATATGTTGCTGTAAAAGTCTCTTGCTCCTGGGGGAAAAATAAGTTTAGGCAATAATTATTCCCATTTTATTTACTCAGATGATAGCAATTTTGGCTCAGCGGATGTGGAACTGAAGGCAGTAAACAATTGTTGGTCACGAGACGGAGGAAGTGTTTTCTGGCAAGCTTCAAAAGTTCTGTGCAAAAGTATTCTTAGAAATAGGAAGTCAATGATGCTTCAAGCAAAGGGGTAAATATGGGAGGGGTGGGCAATGGAGTGGGCATGAACAAATGGTAAACATCCTGCTTCTTGTGTGCACATTGTGGGTGAACTACGACATTAAAAGTCTGTCACAATGATTGCTTTTTCAGCTTGTCTGTATTAGGTTGCCAAATGATGCATTGGTAAGGTTTTCCTTTGGGCCTTCCTTTGTGTACAAATGCGGGATGAGAAGCAAATAGCAAACATGACATCACTTTGCCTGGAAGTTGCAGCCGAGTTCTTGGGTCATAAAGAAAATCCCATCTTTTCTTTTACGTGTCAGAGAAACATTTTCTTTCTTTTTAAATGGCAGCAAAACAGTAACAGCAGTTTAGCATTACACAGCCAACTTTATTTACAGCCACATTAAAATTGCTTTCTATTCAATGTTAATATTTATTACAAACCAGTCACACATAATGGCTGATGAAGAATAATAGCAAACATCAGCATTATTTTCAGTTAAATCAGGTTATTATTCAGAGTTCTGCAGATGGATGTGCAACTATAGTAAGTACTGTACAGTTATCCAGTGGAGGCTAACAGATAGTCAGCCAGTGTTTTAGAAGGCTGAAACCTGCAGCGCCTCAAAAGCTCACATCCCCAAACTTACGAGTTCCAATATGCAAATTGTATGTCAAGATAAGTGTCATTTACTGTATGCACAATATGATTGCCATTACTTCATCATCTCTTCTCCAGCATTCTGGAATAAGAACAACACGAACCTCAGTATTTTTGAAGCAAACACAAAGGAAAAGGAGTTATAAATTAAGAAAACAATAA